AAGACATACATCCCATTGGATTCAGTTGGTTTTATAGTTGAGAACATAAAATTTCCAACTGAAATGAATGCAAAGTTGGATTTTCTATATCCTTGCTTATTGTAGCCATTACGCATTCCATTTTTAATATATATGTTTATGTATTTATAAATGTGTTTATATATATTTATATACACATATATCATATCATTGAAATGTTTATGGAATGTAGAAACCCAACACACTACACAGCAGCTCAGATGAACAACTCTGGCCATGGGTAATTGAAGCTTTAACCCAGCAAACCTCAGAAAGCATATCTGTATGTCACCTGGTCAAGCAGGGGTTGGGCTGGAAGACCTCCAAAGTTCCTTCCAATTCTGTTGTTCTGTTATTCTGATGAAACAAACATTCCTTCTTATCTTTGTCTAATCTAGTAAGATCCTATAATTCTGTGAATTATATTGTATACATTTACACACAATTAAGAAACAGTTGATGCTTTATGTGTTATATAATTTTTATATATTGTTAAAATATTATTTATTTATTAGATTTTCAACCTATTTTAATTTTTGTCAGTACAGACCTAATGCTCCCACCTCTTATTTCTCCCTACAACAACACTGTGAGGTAGCTTTCATTGAAAGAGAGTATTTAGCCCAAAGTCATTCAGCTGGCTTTCATATCATAAGGAAGACTATAATTCACAGCATCTAGGTAATATATCACCTTGGACATTGCATAAAACTAGCTCTCAATCAATATGCTGTATCATAATTGCTAATAATCCAAATCAATTAAGGTTATTTAAGCCAACAAATTAAAATAACCAAACAAGAATTATTAAAAGAATGACACAATAAGAAACTAGAAAAATGAAATAAATAAATAAAAATGACCAAAAGAAAAAGAAATCATCAGACTGCTGCTACTAAAGACCAAGCTTTTGCCGAACAACAAAGAGTAGGAGAATGATTGGGCTGACTGGTTCTCCTCAATACAACTTCCAAAAGGCAGGAGTCAAAACAAAGAGCCCCATTGAACATTTCTATGACCAGTTGTCTCTCTTCAGCCAGTCTGGGAATGAATCTTTCAATTCTGAATAGAAAAACAAATTAAGAAAAATATACTAGAGCGAGTGGCCCTTATAGAGATCCTAGGCCACTTAAATTAAAAGCCAGCATCATGATACTGAGCCTAGAAACAAATAAGAACAAAATGGAAACATATCAGAAACAGATTATATCTTTGCAGCTTGGCAACAGGATGCTGACACATTTATCTACATTTATGCTTATTCTCTGTATGAGCTGCCCCGTGTAAACAGTAATCCAGTCTAAAGATGACTAATGTACATCTTACTGTGGCCAGAAGGGCTATCTTCTCCAGGAACAGAAATCTTATGCTTGTAAAAAATGCTTAAAGCCATCTCCAGCACCTGATCACCTAAAAACAGCACTAACGCAAGCAGCAGCCACAAGCTACAAACTTGAATTTTAATGAGGAATTCAATCCCCATATGTACCTCTAACTCTGGGTTGGCTAATGCCCCATCTAATAATATTTCAACCTTATCTATATTACAATTCAGCTTATTTTCCTGCATCCATTCCCCTCTTGCTATCAAACATCAAGTTCAAGTTTTCGGTCATTCCCTAGGATTTCATTCAAAATGAGACAGAGAACAGTCTCCTCGGATTTAGTTTCCAGATAACATCAGCCAATGGTTGTTGTAGAATGCAAGAAGTACAGCATCCCGTAGCATAATGACCAAGGGGTTGACTAGTCAATGCACTGAATCATATTCCAGAACCTCCCACCATCACTGGATCCATTCTAAATAGTCAATATGATGCCACTGAAGAATTAGCACTGTGAAGCACATTAGATGACACCATGTTTTGAAAGTATGAAATTGGAATCCAGGAGTTGTAGCTGAAACAGATTCCTCTTTTCCCATTTCATTAGGGCTGATCATTTACTAAGAGGATAAGACATGGGGTATTCGGGGCAACAATGTCCAAAATGAGTAGCATTGACTGCACTCCTCCTATGGAAAGGATAGAGATAAAGGATAGGGATAAAGTTACTAAGCACAGCAGAGTGATCCATGACATGATCCATGAATATAAGTAGAAAAAGAAGTAAATCATCATCATCATCAATTTGAGGCAAATTAACATTATTCAAGGTTTCTTTTTCTTCACTGTTCCAACTTTCTTTCAAGAACCTTGCTGTCCTATTTTTATTAACAAAGAACTTCAATAACAACATTCCTAACAGGTTACTTCCCCATAATTGTGACAGGTTACTTCCCCATAATTGTGTGTAAAGAATTGGCTACCATAATTATGGTTAACCTCTCTCCTTTTCTCTAGAATTTTTAGAAAAGAACTCACCATTCTTCCTCTCAGCAAATGTAGGGACCTGGATAGAAGAGTCTCTTACTTCACTGAAACCACTGTCTTTGTGAAACACTCCTGCACTTCCACCAACCACATTTTCCTGGGCTAGCAGCCCCTGCTTCATCACAGAACTCATCACCAAGCCTGAAGAGATTTAGACAAACTCCTCTTTTCTCCGCTTTGAAAGTTCAGTGCTTCCCAAGAGCCAGCAAAGAGCTGTAAGCAGAAAAGTAATAAATTACAAGACATGGCACTGGAGAAGGGAAAGAATGTGAGAAAAATTGTTGTAGGGAAATTATGGTAGGGGTATAGTAAGAAGCTAATCAAGGAAAGAAGCAACCCTGGAATTAAGGAGAAATTTCCTAGCAGTAAGAACAATCAGCAAGTGGAACAGCTTGCTTTCAGAAGTTCTTTATCATTGGAGTTTGTTAAGAAGAGACTGGCCTGAAATGTTTTGACTAGAAGACCTCCAAGGTCTCTTCCAGCTCTAGTCTGATTGATTGAAGTACTGCTTCTTCTGTTGTCTTGAAACATGGGAGTTACCCATGGCAAAGACTTCACTTGCATCTTAATTTGCTTCAGCAGAGCAGTAAATAGTTTTGGCTCCTGCTTCTTCTACTTATCTTTGGGAATTACCAGAACACACAGTTTTGGTTTTTGTGTAAGAAAAGGCTTATTAGAAATCAAATGTTACAGTAACTAAAGATTTACATCTGATAGTCATCTCAATTTATCCCTTTTATTAAATTGTATTGGATATACTGAAGCAGCAATAATAGGCCTGTAGTAGGTAGTTGGGGCAAAGAAGTATTACCCAAGCTTTGTTCTTCATTATTCTATCTATTCTTCCCATTAACCCTACCAAAATTCTTGCATGGAGTTGAGATCTAGGCCAGCAGAATATCCTTCTCAGTTCATTACATGCAGGAGAAGTACAAAATTCTGGTTCATCAATTCTAAATCAGAGCTTTTAGGGATATTAATGGTAATATAACTCAGAATGTCTTACTACACATCAATTTGTAATGTACTAGAATTACAACAGAAAAACAAAAGCCAAAATATACAATACATTATAAATAGAAATCATAGATATAGTAGTATTAAAAAAACATTTCTCAGGAAACACCTATCTTGAACAGAAAAAGTTCACCAACCAGAAATAGCTTTTCTGATAAGAATTTATATACATTTGTATACAAGGAGAATATTTTAGAAAGTATTTTCGCAGACAAAGAAAAATATTCTACAATGTTAGGGCAATCACTAAGAAAGCTCTACTCCAAACCTAGGTTTCATCTTAGACAAACACAGTGAATAGAGTTTTTATGTATATTTGCTATTATTAACTTATAATTTTTACATTCATGTAAAGCCTGTCCAATTATTTTTTTTAAAAAATGTATCAATGATTATTAGATACCTAGCTCATATTTTCTATTTTGTTATGTCCACACCCAAAAGTGGAAACATTGTTCACCAATGGCCAATGGGGGTGGGGGAATCCATCCTGTTTCAATCATATCCATCATTATGATCCATGCAAAGGGACAAAATTATAATAATGAGATAATTATCAGACATGTAGGGCCAACATATCATATAGGTCCAATGTAGCTGAATACTTTAGCTCTTTATGAGGACAGGTTTGTATGCAGATATCTGAATGAACACACTGCATACTTCATGTAATAACGTAAATATTCCTGCCTTTATACTCATCTTCATTTTCTTGGATTTAGAAAGATTCTCACAATGAATACAAACAGATACCTTACGTCCTGATTACAGGGAACCATACATGAAATCTCTCTCTTGCTTCTCAACCACATTAAAGCAGTACAAAATGCCATGATTCTTATCCCATTTGTTGTTGTTGTAAGTCATGTCCGACCCATTGTGACCCCATGGACAACGTTCTTCCAGGCCTTCTTGTTCTCTACCATCCTCTGGAGCCCTTTTAAGCTCATGCCTACTGCTTCAGTAACTCCATCCAGGCACCTCATTCTCTGTCTTCCCCTTCTTCTTTTGCCCTCAGTCTTTTCCAGGCTCTTCTCCAGTGAGTCCTTCCTTCTCATTAGGTGGCCAACGTATTTGAGTTTCATCTTCAGGATCTGGCCTGAAGATGAAGACTGTTCTAAAGAACAGTCAGGTTAGATTGTGCCAAAAAAAAAGTTTCAGGATGTATAGAGGCATATTGAAGTGTACCTATGGATTTATAGTATCCATGTTATTGTATAGGTGTCCAGGTAAATGAAAAGAATTTGTTTTTTTTTTTGTCAAAATGGGCATAACAGTACTCCTTTAATAATGCTCCCCAGTTCTGCAGGGCAACTTATGCATATTGTTGCAAATTTCCTGATTTAGGTTTTCATGAATATAACTTTGGTATGTTGTGTATCCAAAAGAAGGAAAATCCATCTACAGCTGCATACACAACAAGCAAAATCCTCTCTCTCTTTCTGTAATTAATAAGCAGCAAAGAACAAGCAATAACTGTTTACTCTTGGTTTTTTAAATATTCATCTTTCTGAGCATTTCGGAGCTCTTGATGTGATGTATCTTTCCAAGAGAAAGTCGGCGATGACAGGACAATCCAGGAAACTGCCTCTGCGTTCCCCCCCCCACCCTCCCGAAAATAATGAATGTTTCTGTGGCTGAACATTAAATCTTTGATGAATTAGGCCAGGGCTTTGGTGACGTTTCTGCTGAACTGATATGACAGTTTTATATGGATTATGATTATTTATGTTTGTGAAAAATAGCGAACTCGAGCCAGCAAGTTACTGTCGAAGCTTGGAGACCACCAGCATCGGCGCTCCTCATGAAGGCCTTTTATATTAGGAAAGTAAGATCATTCCGAGATTTCGACCATGTGTAACATTTTCATTTTCACTAACTGCAGCCCATGGACCTTCAGTGAATGTCTGAAGGTCAGGATGTGCCCTTAGAGACGCCTGCTCTCACAGCACACCCTAGGAGCATGAGCTTGTTGGGTTTTTCTCCCCCCCTCACCTTCTCTCCCCATGTTAGATTTGGCCTGAAAACATTCCACCCTGTTCCCTCACTTCAGCTTGAACTCAACATATTTACAAAGCTTAAGCATACTTGCTAGCCTCCAAAATCATCTCCATCATACCCGGCTGCCAGCATATAAATTGCAAGACTATACACAGAACAGGACGTGTCCTGTCTCTTCCCGGCCTATAAATATTAAGCCCCATAAAGTCTTATTAGAGTGGTAGCTTTACATGGGCTCTCGCAAGCAAGATGAAATCTACTGAGTCAAAGTGGCAGACAACTCTCTTCCAGGGTTTCTGATCCTGCTTAATACCAAGACATACAGAGAGAGGCTATAAATGTTTGAAATACTGCAAGGGAAGAAAGGTCTTTTCAGCAAGAGTTCAAAATGACAGTGTTGCCGCAAGAAAGGCAACACCGTCAGAGTATTGGCATGGTACTAAGCAGTGTCATAAAAATAAATAAATCCTACAATGACATGGAAATATATAATCATCTTGCAGGTATTTGAAATGAAAGCCAAGACTGCTTTACAGATACGTAGCAATTATGATGCAAACCTAAGTTACACAAAGGAAAGCATTTAAACATTGAAGAAGGGAACCCTGCAATATGTGATTTTCTTGTTGGGTGTCCTCACACAGCATAGCCTATCCAACCCCTTTCTTCCATCCACCTGTTTTTTTCTCCATGTTTATTTTATTAAATTTATTTGCTGGCCATCTCACCCCGAGACAACTCTTACAACATTAAAAGCTATGAAACCATAAACATAAATATTTTTAAAGACAATAATAAAGTAGAATTATAATCAAGAGTAAAGGAGGACCCCCACATTGTGGACTTAGTCTTTCTGGGGCAGTGCCGCTACATCCAGCATCAACAATGGCATAGTCCTAGAACCAGAAGTCTCACAAACCCCAAGCCACTCCATCTTGCTGTCTTGTTGATCCTATCCAGATCCTCACAGCCTCCAGACACTAAGCCAGGGCCTTAGATGTATCATCCATCATCATCAGCATACTGATGCAGGAGTGAAATGCTCTGAAGTTTGCTACCAGTTTGCTTCATGCCCATGCGCACCAAGCACACGCTTTGAGTGCAAGCGCACCTCAGGCGGTGATCATCAGAACTATCAGTTTGCCCAAACCGGTAGTAAAAAAAATGCTACCGGTTCGGGTGAACCAGTAGTTCTGACGATCAGTTGTGCAACAATCAGCTGTGCTGTGGGATTTCTAAATTGCACAGCACAGCTAATAGTCGGAACCAAACCGATAGAAAAAAATGCTACCGGTTTGCCTGAACCAGTAGTATTTTTTAAACTACCAGTTCAGACGAACCGGTAGCATTTTTTACTACCAGTTCAGGCAAACCAGTCCGACTCAGTAGCATTTCACTCCATACTGATGATATCTCACTCCATGGTGAGAATCTTGTGGTAGTTTCACATGATATTTTATAGAGCAAAGGCTGATTTAGGAAATCTTTCAGCTTCCCTTCATTTTTTTTTGTCCATTTTTTTTTTAAGAAAGGGGAAAAAAGTAACAAAAGGAAGATGAAAAAGGTGCCATAGTTGAATAACTGAAAACAATCCTGGTTTTTGAGAGCCAAGGAGTCTCCCTTTTTGGGGGGAGGGAGATAATGAAGGACAAAACCACTGTAGAAAGTTTTCATATAGAAACTGCTACAGATATTCATACAGATAATGGCTAAAGTAATGAAAAAGGATTCAGGAAATCTGGGTTATTTTAAAATAACTCTTTGATATAATCAACAATTTGAAAGGACAGAGCAAGTGAAAAGCTGTAAGTCTTTAAAGTGTTCCAAAAATCCCCACATCCAAACTGACTGCCAGCAAACCCCCATCCTAACAAGTAGGATATACCATAGCCAAACACTACCAATATTAGTCACTATCCACGAGATTAATGTCTTAATATCACACACACACACACACACGTATGTGTGTGTATGTATAGCTATTTATATCCATATATCTATTGGCATCTACATCATCTATCTAAAGTATGATTGTGATCAGGAAGATAAATAGCTTTGAAGTTAATATCATCAATTACATATTGCAACATGTATTACCCAATTTAGACCACCCAATGAGTTCCCACTTAAAGAAGTAAAATTTGAATTCAGGCCTGATTCCTGAATCAGCTTTGCATAAACTGTTCGAGGTTTAT